TGTGATCATCTGAAGGGTAAGCATTTAAAAAATATTTTATTTAATTTTTATGTAGATGAGTATATTGCCTACATGAGTGTAAATGCACCCCTCTCCTGCAATGCCCGTGGTGGTCAGAAGAAGGCGTCAGATTCCCTGGACCTGGAGCTACAAACAGTTGTTAGCCACCATGTGGGTGCTTGGAATCAAACACAGGTCCTCTGCAAGAGCAGTCAGTGCTCGTAACCATCTCTCCAGCCCCTAAGGATACGTATTGTGATGATTTAAACACTACTTTAGTCCTGGCCTTGAAGGGTTTTTGTAGAGAACCATAATTCTGTATAATCAAGTCCAGTTGTCACTCACCAACCTTTAATTATTAGCAAAAATGAAGCTTGAGCTGAAAGGCCTGATGTTTTCAACATTTGATTTTTAGAGTCCCTTTGTTTTTTATCACCTTCTGAATTTCATCAGCTTTATATCTCCTGATTTAAATGGAAAGGTATCAGGAAGGAGGCTGGGTCCACTGCTTCCCAGTTCTCTTGATCTGTTCAAACAGACATAGAGGGCAAGCAGATTGCCAACCCCACTATCTATGCAGCCAGGAGAGGCTTGCTAGTCTGTCTTCTTTCCAGAATTTCCACTCACTGAAATTGTGTATTTGGAAACTTCCTTCACTTAGTTAATAGAATAAAAGCAAAATCTGTAGTGCTTTGTCAAAAATTAATGAAAATTCTCCTTGAAATTTTTCTCTTTACCCAGGTACCTTTTGCAAGGACTGGAAAAATATTGTCTCATATAACAGAATCACCTCAGATTTTAATAAATCTTAGTGTAGGTGTGTCTGGTTTCTTTCACGAGTTTCTTAAACAATATTTTTCTCAGCTTTGCACCGGCATAGAGATCACTTGGAAGCTTACACATCCCTGGGAGAGGATACCACACAGAGATGTTGGATTCATTAATCTGGGTTCATGGGTCATTTTTTACAAATATCTCAGATATTTCCAATATCAGCCTTTTCTAAGGAAAATCATTTTAGAACAAGGTGGTACCTAATAGGGTACCTCTGAGCTTTCATCAATAATTCTTAAAGAGTATAAGGAGAGTCCCTTTTGGTATCCTTTTATAGACTGGCTCAAAGAATAGTAGAATACAAGGAATGGAAGAGATAAAAGAAACTTAAATCAATTTGTTCAAATTTCTTCCTTAGGAATATGTGAACCAATACTTCCACAATCACTTTGAGTATTTTTTTATGAATCAGATAGTTGGGCTGGAGAGATGGCACACCAGTTAAGAGCACTGGCTGCTCTTGCAGAGGACCTGGGTTCAGTTCCCAGCACCAATATGGTGGCTAACAACTGTCCATAACTCCACTTCCAGGGGATCCAATGCTTCTTCTGACCTACATGGGCATTGCACAACATGGGTGCACCTTCCTATATCAGGCATTATACTCAGACACATAAAATAAAAACAATAAATAGAAAAATAAGTATCAAATAGCCATACCTTAGTCTCTTCTTCTGAATCAATGTCTCTCAAATGAGGATGAAGGTTAGGAGCCTGCATCTCAGTCAGCTCTCTTAAGTGGTTTCGGAAACTTTTATGATTTACATCTTTTAATCTGTAGTGGAAGTCTCAGTCTTAGCCGCACATTATAATCATAGGCACTTTTAAAACAGCCATGCTCGTTAGACCAGTGGTCTCAACCTTGGTTTCACTTGAGCTGTACAGCTGTACTGGTGTCCCTCACATGGGACTAGTGCAGGCATCTGTGCTTTTAAAGCTCCCTAGGTAATTAAATAATACAGCTGTGATGATTAATCTTCACTGTCCATTGACTAGATTTGGAATCACCATGGAAACATGTCTGGGTATGTCTAAGTGTTTTCCATAAAGTTTTAAATGAAGAGAAAGAATGTACCCTGAGTGTGGGTAATGTCATCAATGGATTGTGTCCTGGACTAAATAAAAGGAGAAAATGAGCTCCACACCAACATTTATGTCTCTCTGTTTCCTGACTGCAGACAAAATGTGATCAACCATCTTATACTCTTGTACACCCACACACAGACACATACATGAACACATTTATACACCACACAAGCACACGTATACAGAAACAAAAGAATTGTGTAAATTTGCAAGGATGAAAGGGTAGAGCAGAGAGTAATAACTGTCACAATGGATGAGTGAGCAAAGAGTCACATGAACACAAATATGATACCACTAAATGTACCTTGAAGAATCAATGATGACATCTTTGAAGAAATGCTCTTTCAACTAAAACATCCTCCATGTTGTGATTTCTGCCTACTTCAAATCTTGCTACATTCTCTCTAGTTTCAGCTTTAGCCATATTCAACTTCTTTCACTTCCTTAAATTACTCACATTCCCTTGAGCAAGTCTCCCATCTTCTCTGATTCCATTTCCCTAAGACCTTCTCCCCTTTTTTTATTTTGCTCACCTACCTAGGAGCTTGCTTAGAGTCACTTTCTCTCCGGGCTCCTGTATAATGATATATGCCTTTGTTAAACGTGCATGGACCACCTGCATTGCTTGGTTTAGAGTGTCTACATCTTTAATGTATATCTGTTACCCTAAAGGCAGTACACTCCATAAAAGCAAGAGAAAAGATTATATCACTGTGTCTGTTCATGAAATAAAGTCTAGCAATACTAAAAGAATGAATGGATTTGCATGCTAAGATCAGTGGACAGTGTGTACCATGCTTTAACTTGGCTTGTTCTAGGAAGAGAAAAAAATGGATTTCCAAAATATAGCCTGGGCAGGAGGAGCTAAAGCCTGCAATAAACCATAAGTGGTTTGAAGTTTACCCTGTATGATGTCACTGAAGTTTTATGTATAGGAACATAGCAACTAAGTTTAGAGTCACTCACTCTAGAAGCAGTGGGGAGAGTAGGCTGGAAAAGGAAAGACTAATTTAAAGGAGATCAGTCAGAATATGTGCCAGTACTGTAAGTGAGAATTGATGAAGGCTTCCCTGAAATAATGAACTGAAGCACTCCCTTCAGAAGGCATTTTTGACAGATTCTACAGTGCTTGCAGAATAACTGCCTGTGGCAGTGAGTGTGAAAGATCATGCCATAGTCTAGCTTGGAGGCAGGCTACTTGGGGTACTACTACTGGAAATACAGGAAAAGAAAAGCTAGTTTCAAGAAAAACATAATGAGCTCAGTTTTAAACATAATGAGTTCTGTGTGTCCATGGGGCATCTGGGTAGAGTATGTTACGCAGTTGAAAATTCATAAAATCTCAGCTTGGTTTTTTATTGATTATAGATGTGCCTGGTGTTGTATATGTTGTCTTCTAGTTTATGTATTAAAAGACAAACTTTGGAAACTCATAGTGTCATATTGATTTCATGACTTGTTCTACATTAGACTACAATTGGCAATCAAAATACTGACTTTGGGGGGAGGATTCTTTAGCCCCTTCCTCATTGTTAACTACAGTTAGATTCATGCATTTATGCTAAGCTTGCCCAAATTCTGAAGTGTAACAGCTTTTCTGTGGGTAGCTGTATTGTTTATTCTTTCTCATTAGATTGTGAAATCTGTGAGTTCAGAAAGGAAATGTGTCATGCTTTTCAAGCTTTGTACCAGATATAGCAGGAACTCAAATGATAGATAGATGGATGAATGGATGGATGAATGGATGGATGAGCTTATAATCTTTCTGCAGTGGTATGTGATATTTTCAAGAGGTGGTCCCCGAAGAAGTGAAAGCCTCATAATGTTTAAATGCCTAAGTTTTCGGTGGGGTGCTGACTGCAGAGCAGGAAGGGATCAATACAAACATTGTTAATGGCCTTTACCACATTGTTTTCTTGTGGCAATGTGAAACGATCCAGGGATTTAGTTTTCCTGGCTACAAAAGATGTTATAATGTTCTCGATACATTAACCTTTGATATTAATATACAAAAATTCCTGCTTGGTACTGTTCTAAAAGCTGATGGATGAACATATGATCAGAGTCTACTTTAAGGGAAAACACTGCAGAATATATAAGGAGGTTGGAGAATAAGTTACTTCAGTTGAACAGAAAAGAGACTGTAAGGATCTAGAACAACTGGTGAAATGGAGAGACTCCATGAATTCATTTCTTCATCTAGTAGTCTTAGTATCATACGAGACTATGGGAACATTGACAAACAAACCTGTAATGTTTCTCCCTCAAAGTATTATTAGAAAAAATGAAGATTCACATCAATGAAATTAGTAAATGTAACATTGTATTTATGATAAATGCTGTATGAGTGAACAAAAGACAAACTCAATTGAAAAATCATCTTTCGGGACTGGAGAATGTCTCAGCGGTTAAGAGCACTAGTTGCTCTTGCAGAGAACCAGGTTTGGTTCCCAGCACCCATGTGGCAGCTAACAACAATCAGTAACTCCTGTTCCAGGGGATCTGACACCCTCTTCTAGCCTCCTTGGGAATTGCATGATACAAGTGCATTTACATACATGCATGCAATATATTCATATGCACAAAATAAAAATAAATAAGATGAAGAGAGTGTCAGGTAAATTGTGGTAGCACACACCTGTACTCCTACTTCTAAGAGAGCTGAGGCAGAAGGACCATAAGTCAAAGCCAGGCTGGGCTACATAGGAGTTTAAGGTTATACTGAGCTATGCAGTAAGACCCTGTCTCAAAAACAAATACAAATACAAACAAATGACAAACAAAATTGACATTTGTTTAGTTATCAGAATCAATAATAGCTATTTTTCCTGTTCCTCACTTATTCAAATAGAATTGTAACATAAATAATATACAAGAAATGCCATCAAATATATAAATAAAAAATTATGTTTCACAAAGTAAAGTAAAATCAGTAAACTGTGACTTATAAATTCTAATTTTGCAGTTAATTTCACTTGGTTTTCAATTGGAATGGTGTCACCACTCCCTTGGAATGATGGCGTTTTGCTGATGTGGTACAGTTTACGCTCCTTCTCCATATCGATTTTTTTTCCACTCAGATGTTGCAAGAGCAATTGAGCTACTGGAAAAGCTACAAGAATCTGGAGAAGTACCAGTGCACAAGCTACAGTCTCTCAAAAAGGTGCTTCAGAGTGAGTTTTGTACAGCAATTCGAGAGGTAGGACATTGAGATTTTAACAACTATATTCAGCCATATGTCTTCTGAATAGAAAATATGTCTTTTTCACATAAACAGTTGAAATCGTCAAGATTGGGAGTACATCTTTGCTTTCTGTTTTTAGCTCCTTGGACAGATGATAAAATATAATTTAGTCTGCTGAACTCTTAAATTAGATCCAGGCAGAAATTATACGTTTATATAAAACCAATTTTTTTTATGGTACCAAAGAATTAGCTGCTTAGCGGTCACCTGAAGCCACCAGAAAATTCAAAATTAATGAGTGTTCTTAGAGGAAAACTCAAGTAAATGTTTCTCAGCTAAATCTGAAAGAGTAACTTTCCTGACTGAAATTATGGTTGCTCAAATAACGTCTATTATGATAATAGAAAAATCTCCAAACAGGCTGACATGTCTTTATAAAATATCTGTTTAATGTTTTCCTGTATAATATTTTTTTTAAACAGAGGTGAAACAGGTGTGTTAAACTGACCATTTGAATTTCATATTGACTTGTGATAGAATTGACTATTCAACTAATAAGTTCATTGGTTATTTCTAAAAATCCCTTTGATATATATAAGCTATTTCATTTATTCAGTAATCTATTACCCTTTACCCATCACGCACTAGATAAAAATTCATTAATCAAAACTCAAAGCCCATTAATCATACACAGTTGCTGTTTTAGAAGTCACCACTGATGATGCAACTACCTCTAACCTCTCCACAGCCACATGAATTCTCTGGCTACCTGGAGAGTCTGTTGTAGCATTGTAAAGTCAAATTAACTTCTGGAAGGCGCAGGTGGTGCCCACTTCACTCCTCCCACTATCCTTAGGACACCCCCGAGGCAAGAATTCTCCAAAATCGCTGTTTGGAAAATCCTAACAAGTTTATTGGACTTGCTCACTGAGCTTGGGGTGCTGGTTTACTTCAAGAAGTCTGCCCCCCCATTCATTGCTGTGCTGGAAAGTCCACACTCAAACATAAATCCTGTAACTTCCCGACAGCCACACAAAATGTCAAAAGATCTGCTTCGTGGCTTTCTGAGCTTATAGATCCTTAGCTCCTCCCCTTCACTACAATCCTTGCTGCCATAGTGGTGGGAGGGACTTCAGGATACAAGCAAGGAGCACATACCTCTCAGGGGAAGTACTCATCAAGCTTCCTTTGTCTTTGCAACTCTGCCTGTGTCTGGTGCACACTCTCAATAATGCTAGTTTAGAGCCATCATTAGGTACAAAGTTAACTAAAGACAGAGACACACAAAACTCTACAGATCAAACTGTAGCCCCTGCAGCACATTTAGAATTTAGACTTGGTGGGGATTTTACTAATGCTGTGCTTGTGCTCAGTGTATATCAGATGAAGTTATTCACTATTTGATCTTTTGCAAATACTGACCATAGCTTAAGTAAATAACTATTATTCCCTCTCTAAAATTTAAACCTATAAGTTGATCAAAGGCCAAAAGGAAGTTTCCCTAAGTGTAAAAGTTTTGTGTGACTGTCGTCACTTCAACAGGAAAAGTGTACGATGTCTGGAAACTCACGACCTGCCCTCAGTTCAATTTCTGTGACCTTTTGTCATCCAAGGCTAGGCTCTCTCTCTCTCTCTCTCTCTCTCTCTCTCTCTCTCTCTCTCGTGTTTTCTTCCTGTGAATTGTGCCAAACTCTTCAGATTTGGTGACCGATTTTTCCTTTTTTAGAGATCTATTATCTCTTCTGTGTCATAGCATTCTGATATCTGCAGAAGTGACTCAAGGATAGAAAATAATAAAATATTCATCTCTGCTCACTGGGTATATGGTTCATGATCGATTCAAAGTCTCTGTATTCACAAAACTTGCATTCGCAGGAGAGAAAAATGTGACAAAGAATCCTCTAATAGACTATGTGAGAGTGCTGACACTGTAGACAGGGGAAAAGCAGTTTCAGATGGGTCAGAGCAGGATTTTGCTAATTTAGAGAGGTCAGAAAATTTAATTAAAATATTGAAACAATTCATATAAATCTTAAGGGGTAAAGTATTTCAGGCAGAGGAAACTTCAAATGCAAAAGCCCAGAGACAAGAGTGATCTTACTGCATAAGAAAACACTCCAAAAGCCTGTGTCTACACTGTGATGTGCAAGGACACTTCCCTAGAGAGAGCTTCAGAGCAGATTATATAAAGTTTCACAGGCCATATAAGAACACTGAGCTTTATTCTATCTGAAGAGCTCTGGGAGAGTTTTGACCTGATTTGTTTGGGAGAGGCCTTTCTCCTGGAAGAATAAAACTGTGTGTACAAAAGTAAAAACAAGAGAGACCAGGAATAAAGCAATGAGGAGATCAAGTGAGACGAGATAGCGGCAAGTTACTAAATGCCAGAAGTATTGGGGGATCAAAATGAACTCAGATTGTTGATGAACTGAGTAGGTGGCATCTGAGCGACAAGAGACACAATTGATTCTTTGGGCTAGAACAACTGAATGAATGCTGATATTGTAAGATGGGAATTTTGGGAGGTATTAATAGGTTTAGAGAAGACCCACCCAAGAACTCTGTTCTGTTCCCCGTAAGTTGATGCTTTGTAGGCATCCAAGTAGAGATGTGTCACAGGCTTACAAGTTTTAAGTTGGGGTAGAAGCTAGATCTGGGTTTGTAAAGGTGATAGAGGATAATCAGAATGCATTATATACATGTATGGAAATGTCATGATGAAACATTGTTTTGCATAGTTAATATATGCTAATAACAAAGACTATGAAAATAAGTTACTAATTAAAAGAGTATGGCAAAAATGAAATATAAATATGGAAATTTTCTATAATTGAACCTAAATTGGTGCCTGCCTGTATGTCAATAGCTGTTTGTGGATGTCCATAACTGACCTATTGGCAATCTAGAAATTTTAAAAGGAAAAACAGATGATATAAATTCTTTGCCTAACTTGAACTTTTAAAAATTAATTTTATGTTCTCACTGATATTTAGAGACAATACATTTAAAGAGAAATTATGAAATGTCACTCTGTCAAGTCTAGCATTTCATACCAGTGGTGTGGTATGGTTTATATTTCTGAAGTATGGAGTTATATCTGCATTATTATTGCTACAGTCTACATTATTATCTCTGCATCACTTTACATTTGCTGTGGAAAGCAATGGCAAAATAATAATATGCACAACAACTTTAAATAGTATTCTTAATGAAAATGTCTTCAGTAATGATACAATAGAAAATGTGAGTACATTTTACCAGATGGGTAAATCAAAAGCCAATGAAGAAAAGTGTCTCTAGAATGCATGGCAACAAATACCTAAAAATTAAATAAACTTGGGCCAGGAACCCTTTTATTCCTGGCCTCTATAGGGCTGGCAAAAAATCCTTGAACTTTTTGGTTCTCACTGAAATAATTCTGTTGTTAAATTATCAGAATTTTTTCAGAAATATTTGCTAGTTAAAATTTAGTGTGTTCTTGGATGCAATCACCAAAGCAAAACCAGATATAAGTCCCACCAGTGCCAATAGCAGGGTAAGATTTTACAAAGTTTGCCTTATATAATTGCAACCATAATGCTTGCATAATCTCATCATTCACTGTGTGATGAAACTACTGCGTCAACTCTTGGCATATGAGCCAGAATTCTATTTTTGTTTCTTTCTGCTTTTCTTATTTGTTTTTTAGACAGGGTCTCCCTGTAGCCCCAGCTGGCCTGGAACTTACTATGTAGACCACACTGGACTTGATCTCACAGAAATAAGCCTACCTCTGCCTTCCTTGTGATAGGATTAAAGATGTGGACCACCATGCCCAGCTAATGACAGCACTAATATGAAGATATGAGTTTAATGAGATTCAGGTGTTTAGACTAAAAATAGATGCTCAGAAGATATGGAAAGTTTTCTTCATTATTTTTCTAAAGTCTAAAATAATGTATGTTGAGATCAGTGATAAGAGAAAACCAGCAGTGTACACAACTAAGAGAAGTGCGGCTCCATCAGTAAGCAGGTGGAACTTATTTGCTAACATGCTAATCCATACTCAGCTTTATATTTAGCACACAGAAGGAGGTCAGAAATCTCAGTTGCACTTTATTGCCGAAGGGTTTTGAAAGAATCTTGATCAATGATTAGACTTCAGCCATTCTGTGAAAGTAATCTCAGAGTACATGACTGAGAAATGAGATAACAATAATATTTTTTTATAATTATGTACACTTATACTGGCAGATAAGATTCACACAAGCATTTAAATGAGACATGAAACAAAAATTTATGGTACTTGCCATTTCGGTGATTTTTTTAAAGTACCTTTATCAGGTTTTAGCTTTACACTGTAATAGACAGAATAGCCTAGATTATAAGTTTTAGATTCAAATTTAACGAGTACAAAATGTTGGTGTTTGGTTTCATGACAGTGATTTAATGAGCAGGGCAGTTGCCAAAACATGGACTTTTGTTATTTTTCCTGATATTTCATGTTCTGTGTCTCAGAGAAGAACGTAAACGTATGAAGAGAACATCCAATTTTAGCAACTGAATATAAAGAAATTCTCATGCCAGAAGTAATCAAAAACATAATTATCCATTTGCTTACAGGACTGTAAGATATTTGAGCTTCCCAAATCTCTAGGGTATGTGCTCCTTAACCTGAATGATATGAACCACCCACAGCACTTCAGGGGAGAAGGACCTCTCATATTTATTACTGTGATACGCATATCTGAACTAAAAATACAGAAAAAATTAAATAGTCACCCAAATTCCTTTCTTTAGCCAATCACCAGAAATTGCATGTTAAATTTTTCTAATGTAGTAAAACGGTAAGAAGATAAACCAACTCTACATGTATAACCATTCTGCGATAGTCAAATAGGTTATACAAAAATACTCCAATTCTCTTCTACTTCTTATCATGTGATAGACTTGACTTCTCCAACTCTTTACAGGTAGATGCAGTTATCCTGACTGCAGTTATCCTGATGTGTGAGTGGAAGACTTCTGTTCTGCTT